CCAGGCGGGGTCCCCTTCCTCAGAGGGACTGGGGCATGGGCTCCGCCTCTCTGGGGTCGAGAGTCTGAGGGAGAGCTGGCGAGCGGATGGGATGCACGGGACCTGAGGAGGGGTTGGGGTGGGAGGGGAGTGCGGTGCCGAGCTACGGGTACCCCCGAGGACCAGCCGGGCACCGAGGGGCGTGATTAACCGCTGGTCTCGGCTTCGCTCATTCATTTGACTCGCGCGGGCTCCCGGGTCCGGCGGCCGCAGAGCTAGCCTTTGGCCAAATCATCCATTGGGCCCCAGTTTCCTTTTTAGTGGAAGGGGCAAAGCAGATCACCTCTCTGGGAGTTGAGAGTTCTGAAGTCAGGTTCTCCGGGTGCAGACTTGCAGGCCGCCACGCATTTATTATGTGACCCCACCGCCATTTACTCAACCCCCCCTCTGCACCTCAGTTTCTCATCTGTAAAACAGATTACACATTGTCTGCCTCTTAAATTGCTGTATTAAATGAGATGGTCTCCGTGCATGGTTTAGAACAGTGTGTGTCACTAAGTAAGCACTCAGTGAAGTTACCTGCATTGCTAGTTAACGACTGGTCACTGCAGGATAGACTCTCAGGTCCCACCGCAGCTTGGGAAATGTGTACTATTGTTATTTCCACGTGACAGGCGGGAGGGAAGAGAGAAGGCCAATGGCTTACTGCTCCATTATTTAAGAAGAAGGTAAAAGAGGTGTTAAAAACAAACTTTGGATTCAAACCGGTTGCCTGCCGTTTGATTCTCAGGTAGTTGTGTGTGGTAGGGCAGGTAATTACTATCTGAGTCTCAATTTCTTGGTTTTTAAAGGGCACGCACTTGGATGTTGAGGATTTAATGACTCAATGCATACAAAGTACCTAGCTTCGTATGGGCATACCCGACCCGTGCTAAGTGTGTAAATTTTAGCCAAGAAAGTTATTGTTATCATTAATGGGAGGTGGGTAGATTAGGATTCTGTGACACGGATGCTGTGTTAGGGGAATTTACAGTCTAGCTGGGAAAATGCTGGATAGATTATAGCCATTTGCTAGATTTTAATATATTGAGGATATGCATGTACACAAGGCATTGGGGATTCATTTAGCATTAGTATCTTGACTCCTCATTCTCTCATATCTTTCTATCCATTAGCAATTCTGGCTTTAACTATGAATTTTAGCCAGGTCACTTCTCACCATCTCTACTGCTGTCACCCTGTTGCGTCACTCATCTTTTTACTTGGATTATGGCAATAGTCTCCTAACTGGTGTCCCTCTTTAGGTCCCTGGACCTGTATAGTCTCAATATAGTATTGTTTATGCTCAACACAATTGTTCTGTTAAAATATAAGTCAAATCACTCCTTTGCTCAAAACTTTCCAGTGGCTCCCATCTTGCTCAGTAAAAGCCATAGCTCCTGCAGTGGCTGATAAGACCCTCTGGATTTGGCTTCTGCTATCTGTCACCTTGTCCCTACTTATCATCCTTTGCTTACTCCTCTTTAGTCATACTGTTCTTCTTGCTAATGTAAAAAAATACCATATACACTCCTGATTCAGGGTCTTTGAACTTGCTTTTCTTCTTGGGCTTGTTTCCCTCCAAATACCTTTATGATTTGCTCCTTCTTCAAGTCTACTACATTTTTTTATTTCTTACTTTGCCTATCATATTTAAAATTGAAGTTCTTCTCAGGTGTCCCTTCTGTGTTGTATTTTTCTCCATAGCACGTTTCACCTTTTTAAATGCTAAATAATGCATCTTAATTATTTAGTGAGATATTTTTCTTTTCCGGTTAGAATGTAAGCTCTATGACGTTGGAGGCTTTTGTTTGCTCTGTTTCCTGCTGTATCTTCAACACTAAAACAATGTTTGGTGCATAGTAGGCATTCAGTAAATATTTGATTAATGAGTACTCCACATTATAAATATCTCTAGTTTTTAAAATTTTTATTTTAAAAAATATATTTTTATTGATTTTAGGGAGTAAGGGAGAGCGAGAGAGGGAAACATCCATGATGAGAGAGAATCATTAATCGGCTACCTCCTGCATGCCCCATACTGGGGATTGAGCCTGAAACCCAGGCATGTGACCTGACCAGGAATTGAACAGTGACCTCCTGATTCATAGCTTGATGCTCAACCACTGAGCCACCTGGGCTCTAGTTTTTGTTGTTTTTTTTAAGAGTTTTTACACTCTAGATTACTTAATACGCACAAGGAATTAAGTAGAACTAACTAACCTTCATGCCCCAAGGTAAGCATCTCTTCTACAACATTTTCCAAAACATAGTGCAGTATGGACACTATAGTTAGACTTGGGTTTGAGTCCAAGATTGACTATGTGTAAACTACTCTGGTCCTCAATTTTTTTATTTGTAAAATGGATATAATAATTCCTTTCTTAAAGGGTTCTAGTTCAAACTAAGTTTGACACTGTAGACAAAGAATTTAGTACCATTAATGCTACCCTTGTGATCTCTGTTACTTGGATAGCAGACAGTTCATGACAGACTATTCAAAAGTGTGTGTGTGTGTGTGTGTGTGTGTGTGTTAATGACAAGTAGACTGTACCACTCCTATGACTTCCTGTTTCCTGGGCATAATAGATGAGGATTAATTTTATTTCCATTTATTTAGCAAATGTTAATTCAATATTCCTTTGTCCAAGGGAGTGTGCAAGACTTGGAAATATTGAGATGAACAAGAGAGTCTGTCCTCATGGAGCTTACAGTTTAGCAGAGGCATCACACATTACACTGTTATAGTTGTGAAAAATATAGAAGTACAGGTTGCAATGAGTGGATATAGCAACAATAACAATTTAGCTAACATTTAGATAGTCCTTGTTAAATGTCAACCGCTATTCTAAGATCTTCGTATATTCAGTCATGTAAAGCTCTTAACATTGAGGAGTAGGTACTATTATTAATTCCTTTTTACAATGAGGCACAGGCTGGCCTCATTGTAATTGCCACAGTCACATTGCTAATAAATGGCAGAGTTAGGATTTAAACTTGGCTCCAGAGGCCATATTCTTCACTACTTCATAGTACTGACTTGGGACCTAATCCAAGGGAGACCTATTGGAAGGTTTCTTAAGGAAAAGATACTTGCAAGCCCTCAAAATTGCGTTTTTTAGCTCTATATCCTCCATTTCTGTCATGTTTTTTTGTCTCTGCATTTTTTATGTAGTTGAGCCTTGATTGTTGTAGTTAATACTAGAGGGATTTGACCACCAGGCCGACTGGCTGTGTGAATCAGCTGTGTCTGCCGCGGAAAACTTCTGTCCTCTGGGGAGGTGCTAATCTAGCCTTTGCCTGAGGCGATCCGGCAAATGGCTCTGCGCAGGGCTTGGGCGGGGCGGGCTCAACAGGGCGGGCGGAGGGAGCCGTTATGGTGCCCTCAGTCCTGTTCCCAGAGGCTCTGCTTCTCAGAACCCCCGGAACCGCTGCAAACCTCGGAGGGAAAGCTGCCTTCCAACTGATGCCAGACACTCCCGCTTCTCCCGTTTGGGTCCGAGTCCCCAGCGATTCGCCCGTATCTGGAGCTCAGAGTCTGAGACTCCCCCCTGACCGAAAACGACAACCGCGCTCTCAGCCACCAGCCCGCTTTGCGCGCGCACCTCCGCACCTGAGTATTTTCCACACTGCGCCTCCTCTGAGCCTCGGTGTGCTGTTATTTTTCCTTCTAGTTGAAGAGTCTCTCCTCAGCCAGCCTTCCTGTGGTTCTGGGTGATGTCCGTTCCGTCTTTTAGTTGTATTTTTGAAGTGGTTGTTTGCGGCAGCAATCTCCGGTGTTTACCTATGCCGCCATCTTGGTCTCTCTCCAGGAAAAGATACTTGAACTGGAATCTAAACGTAAAAATTAAGCAAAGTGTAAGTAGGTTTGGAAAGCATGAAAAAATGCTGGGTGGAGAAAAACATGGCACCTTAGAGAAGCAGAGAGAAGGCTAGAGAGTCATAGAAGGAAGTGAGGGAAGAGATCTGGTTGAGAGGTAGGCAATGCCATGATGAAGATTCAGGATTGTGTCTGTCCTGAGAGGCGCAGGAGTTGCTAGTGTACTTGAAATGGGAATAGTGTGATGAGTCCCGTGCTTTAGCCACATGGAGGCTGCTGGGAGGACTGTCCAGATAGTTGAAGAAAGTGCCTACCACTTCCCCAAAGCTTCTCTCCAGTTTAAACCTTCCAGTTCCCTCACCCTTCCTTACATGATTTGGTTTTTAGACCTTGGTGGGCATCATCTTTGAAACTCTGTATAGACTTTGGAATAGTATGGAGTGTGTTTAATAGTCATTTTTCCTCAAGGTTCAAGCACTGTCTTCCTGTTGGCCCTGACAATCATAGCCAATGCCCAGGCTCTGACGCCCACTCACTACCTCACCAAGCATGATGTGGAAAGACTGAAAGCTTCGCTGGACCACCCTTTCACAAGTTTAGAATCTGCTTTCTACTCCATCGTGGGACTCAGCAGCCTTGGTGCCCAGGTGCCAGATGTAAAGGTAAGGCTCCTTTTGCCTTGGTGGCCTCATCCTTTTACTATGTTCCTTTTGTATACTTCATAACCTTTTGCTCATTTGAGGATAACCAAAGTTAATACAATATAATAAATACTTATATCAGTCGGACAGGTTCTTTCTTTGAGTGCCTAGTGTGTGTTTAGGATCTAGTCAGATCTTTTAGCAGAATATAGGAAAGAGCAAGTCATAGATCCTTGAGAAACTCTTACTGCAGCTCTGAGTGGGCCTATGCAATACTACATATACTTATGAAGTGCCCTATATGTGAGCCTAATAAATAATAAA